AATATTGCCTTAATTAATGTTCAAATAACATTTTAAACAATCTATAGCCACATAAAGATAACATGAAATTGCCCCTAACGTGGCGCACTTTGTAGCGCCTACCTAGCAAAAGTTTTAACTGAAATTTCACAGATTGAGAAATTTCATCAAGTTCCAAACACTCCTGTTCATAAATCGCAAGTTTATTTAACCGTATTAAAACAAAGTTATAGGCCTAAAAGAAAAATGTATTTTAGCGTGATTTTCCGATTTATTTTCTAGTGCAAAGTGAACCCTTCTACATCTACATCTACATCTAAGTGGATACTGGACAGGACCAGCTGGTATCTTCGTCCAGATTTCCAAGGACATGTCAACATCTCCTCGCACATCACAACTAAGAGTGCAAAATTTAACAACAAAAAGAAGTGCGCATACATGTATATACAGTGACTGGAACAACTTGGGGACTAGTTGCTTGAGACGATGGAACGTCCAGCTGGCCTGCCCATGTACAGCTGTGCCTTGTGGTCGTTCATGTAGCTCCATAGATTGATGTTGAATGACTTAGCAGCAGTAGATTTAGTGATGATGATGGATGGTAGAAGATTCCATTGACTGATGGTCCGGGGGTAGAAACTGTTTTTGTAGATCTCTGTTCTGGCTGGGAAGTTGATGAATTGATGTGGTCGATGGCTTTTGGTTACTGGTCTGTTGGGATTGTGCATGGGGTTGACTGAGATGAATTTATCTGGGACTGTCAGTGGGGTTTTTGCTGTGTTGATCTTGTAGAGCATTGTGAGACGAGCTGCAGTCCTTCTATCTTGGAGTGATGGCCAATTCAACTCTTGAAGCATTTGAGTAACGCTAGCAGTACGCTGATAGTTCCCTGTAACAAACCGGGCTGCCTTTCTTTGGACTGCTTCGAGGGTTGAAATGTGCTTCTGATGATGGGGGTCCCAGGTTGTGTTTGAATATTCCAAGATTGGTCTGACTATGGAGAAGTATGCTTGTTTTTTTCTGGGCACTTTGACAGGTTTTGTTGCAGGAAGTTGAGGGATTTCTGAGCTTTACCGGTGATGTTGTTTACATGTAGGCCCCAATCCAAATTTGAGGTGAATTCCACACCAAGATAAGGGTGGTTTTCAACCTGGTGCAGATCAGTTCCTAACATGTTGTAGGTTGAGTTGATTCTGTTGCGTCGCTTGGTGATGCGGAGCAAGGAGCACTTGGCAGGATTAAACCTCATCTGCCAGTCGAGGGAGCATTTTGTCAAGGTGTTCAGGTCCTCCTGCAAGGCTGCAGCATCATTTTCAGACTGTATCTGTCGATAAATGAGGCAGTCGTCTGCAAATAATCTGATGGAGGATGAGTTGTTGTAAACAATATCATTGATGAACAATATAAAGAGGAGTGGTCCTAACACCGTACCTTGGGGGACCCCGGAAACGACAGCAGCAACAGAAGATCTCTCACCGTCCACAACTACAGCTTGAGTACGATTTGTCAGCCAGCTTCCAATCCAAAAATGGGTAGGACCATTGATGCCATACCATCCCAACTTATATAGAAGTCTCCCGTGGGCCACCACATCAAATGCTTTGGAGAAGTCTAGGATAAGGCAGTCGATCTGTTGTTTCTGATCAATGGCACCAGTTAGGTCGTCCAAGGTCGTTAGTAGTTGGGTTTCACAACTGTGAAATTTACGAAATCCATGTTGGAAGTCATTTAATATGTGATGGTGGTCTGATGTTACTAGCGATGATATGCTCCAGTACTTTACATGCAATACTGGTTAAGGAGACAGGTCTGTAATTTGACGGCTGGCTTCTATCACCCTTCTTGAAGACTGCTGTTACATTGGCCTGTTTCCAGTCATCTGGTATGTCACCTGTATGAAGTAACTGCCAAGGGCGGATCCAGGGGGGGCCAAAGGGGGCCATGGCCCCCCCCCCCCCCCAAAACAAAACCATTTTTTTTTTTTTATGTGACATCGCAATAAAGGCAGGCAATGAGTACACCACCATCTTTTCCTCAAAAAACATTGGTTAAAGTGGTCAGAAATTGCCTCAGATCGCACCACAGAGCATCTAGAATCACAAAAAATTTCGGGGCCCTTAAGCGGGCCCCGAACCCCACGCCGTAATTTTTTTGACCCACTTTTTTGGGGGACCAAAATTTTTTTTGGCCCCCCAAAAAATTGTGTTCTGGATCCGCCCTTGGTAACTGCTGGTATACAATCCGTAGGACAGGTGCTAAGATAGAAGCATGGTCTTTCAATATCTTAGTCGGTATTTGATCTGGACCGGTAGCTTTCCTAGGATTAAGCGAGGTAAGCAGCTTCTCAACTCCCGTAGTAGTGATTGTAATGTCAAGCATGACCGGAAAGGGGCTGGGACCCTTGGATGGCATGGTGTCAACATCTTCCTTCGTAAAGACTGAGCTGTATTGTTTGGACAATACTTCAGCTTTGTCTTTAGGTGAGGTCACAATTCGGTTTCCTGAAACCAAGGAAGAGATACCCATTCCATCCCTCTTCAGTGATTTGACATACTTCCACAGTCTCTTGGGAGCACTCTCCTCGTTCTCACACATGCCATTGATGTAGTTGGTGTGTGACTCATCGAGCTTCTGCTTGATTTGTGTCTGGAGTGCTGTGTACTTGGTCCAGTTCTTCTGTATCTTGAATTTCTTGTATGTTGCGTACTCCGTTTTCTACGTCTCGTTAGGCGTTTTATTTCTGGTGTCATCCATGGTAGATCCCATCCGCCTTTCAGACATTTAGTTGGCACATTCTTGTCCATGATGCTTGTTATCTGCAGCTTGAAATGGGTCCTATTTGAAGATGCAGTATGTGATTCCCATGTTGTACTAAAGTCAGTGGCAAAAGATGCAAGATCTTCTTTGAGCCCTTCGTTGTCTGCCTTGTTGTGCAAATAAACAGTTCTGGGTTTCTTCCTGTTTATTTGTATAGTTATGTTGCAGTCGGCAGTCACGGCCTCATGGTCACTCATACCGGGAACGACATTTACGTTTTGTAGGCTGTCAGGAGCGTTGGTAAGGATCAGGTCGAGCACATTTCCCTTCCTTGTAGCTTCAAGGACGAGTTGGTCTAGGTAGAAATTGCTGACAAGGTTGACCATACTCTCATTTACTGACTTGCCATACTGTGGTGATGGATGCACTGCCATGGTATTCCAATCAATTGATGGGAGATTAAAGTCACCCATAAGGATAACTTTGGGAACAGTCTTGCAATCAAACAGCATCTCAAGATCCCTTTGCAAATTTTGGATGTCACTAGGAACATTTCCGGGAGGCCTGTAGTACATGTAGCTACCAATGTAAACTGGTGGTGCCCTACTGGTTTTGACTTTGATCATGGTCAGTTCACAATCTGTCCCCACTGTCACTTCACTAGCGACAATGTCATCTTTATAGGCGATGAAGACCCCGCCTGTTCCCATCTCTACGCTGGACTTTAAATGTATCAGGGAACACTTCAGCATTTTTGATGGTGGCATCAAGATGAGATTCTGTGCCCATCACTATGTCTGGTTGTTCCAGATCAATCAAAGCAGACAGTTCTGTCTGTTTCCTCTTACTCTTCAAACCATTACAGTTCACTGTCATCAATTTAAGTTTGCGTCTTGGCTGTTTACGTGTACATGTAGCATGAGATCTATTTTTGTTTCCGTTGTTAGATACAGCGGGCGGACAGTGAAAAGTTTTTGGAGCATCATCATTATCTGGCAGACTATCACAGTCAGAGTCAGAGATAATGCTAAATGAGTTATCTGATGAATGCACTAACAGATCTTCAAAGAAGCTGCTACTGAACTTCGGCATTGCACATTGTGGACAAATCCAAGTAAATCCTTGCTCTTTACCCAGGAACTCACTATACTGCTTACCAGAAATACCGCCACTGTACACAGTCAACACACTCTAGGCCTCTGTAACTCATCCAACAGGTCCCAACTTAAGTGCGTCACAGTTGCATTGTAGAAAACTTGTAGAAAATTCCATCAACAAATATATGAAGCACAGACAAAACAAAAAGACAAAACTCCAGTAAAATCCAAAACCATGAAACTTTTGCAGTGAATAAGCAATCATAGCTTGCTGACGTTTAGAATTCTCAATCTCATGTTTGTCAGTACACGCCAGCTAGCTGCAGCGGGAGTCCGCCATCTTGGATCGAACTCACCCAAGTGCGTCACAGTCACATTGTAGAAAATTCCAGTGGCAGAAAATACGAAGTACAGGGATCAAAACTCCAGGAAAATCCAACCAGTTAAGACCTTGTAGTGAGAATAAGCGATTGTAACTTGCTGAAACTTCATTTTTATGAAAGAAACGTTAAAAATATCCAAAACTTAGGAGCGATGTGCGGAGACATGTTGACGTGTCCAGAATATTTTCATGGTAGTGGTACCCTCTGAAAATGCCCCGAAAAGTAAGAAAATAATTTTATGACCAACATCTGGCTGGGTATAAAAGTAGAGATAATATTTATTTATCAGAATTTATCAAGTTTATACAGAAATTCTTAAATGTTACTTGGGAATTTTCCGAGATTTATTCAAGTGCGCCACGTTAAAGGAACACTCCGCCAATTTGTGCCCAATTTCCGGACGCCACCGTTTTTGAATTTCGGATTAAATTCTATGTAAAACTGAAATTGTTCACAGAGGTTAAACAGCAAGCCTTAATAAGGTAAAAGTACCAATATTTTACTGCATGAATTTGAGGTTTGGCAACAACTTCACGATAGCCCGACTGCATCTGGCCGTACATTACAAGCTTTGTTGCGATAGTGTTGCGATAGTACTGTACGCACGACCAGATGCAGTCGGTCTACTTTACGAGGTCGAGGAAAGTCGGGTAATTAAGCTTCGACATGTTCGAAGTGCGCCACGTTAATTAGGGAACATGACTTGGGCCTACACGATCGCCTATAATTCATTTATTTATTACATAATTTAGTTCTTCGGCTTATTTAGGCTTATTTATAATGCATTATTTACATAATCATGGGCCTAACTACCTACAGCATAAATGAGCTGGTAGAACATACGTACATTGTCATTTCTGTCGATCGCCGGACCGTGGGCAGTGAAACAGCGCCCTCTTTTTGCTTGCAACAGGCAGGGCGCAGTGTGGTGAATTATTTTTTTCCAAACAATATCCGCATTGCAAACAGGACGCTCCATAGCCACAGCGGTGTAGATCTGATCGACCGTGGCAACATTCATGACTCGCATTCGTACGTGTGTACTGCTACTAGGTGAGGAGTGTTTTGCATAAGTTTTCTCCTTTTGTTTTGGTTTTAATTTATTGAGTCTTGACAGTCACAGTTCACTGACACTGGGCACGTGGTGTGATTAATGTAGGCCTATTGGAGACTAGCAATGGATGAAGGCCTACTTCCGGGTTACCGTCCTCCTAGCCCCACACTATATGGCCGCGATATTGCCACACGCCAGGTTCTCCAGTACTACTGAGGAGTTTATTCCAAACACTGGCGCACCCTTTAAAAAAAAAAATTTACATACCACCTGACCACTGTTTATCATATGGTTGTATTCTAGCTGGAGTTACCCAGCCCTAAATTTTAGCCTGGAAGCTGGAGCAAGTTGTTCACCAAAACCAGCAGCATTATTGGCAGGTCCAAAAAAAAATTTCGAAAATGTGCAAATTTGTCCCAGTTACACACTAACTTCAACTGGAATTCATCCAAACCTTGCCTGGAATAACCACTACACAGGTCCTTGAAGTAAAACATGATCCATGATGAAAATTCAGCCTACAACTGCAGTGAAAGGCATAACCGACAACTTTAATGACCCATAACCCATGATGATGACCACAGTTTGTTTGTGCACAAACCAAGCACTACAAGCACAACACAGCGAATCACCAGTCACACTTGCCAACTGCACGGCGCTGCACTAACTATGAGGCTTCGCTCGCATCACGGCAGAGGTAGAACGGCAGCTGAAGTTGGCCGACAAACATGGCTTCAGCGCCATGCCACGCCGTGTGGTGCAGTTGGCAAGTGTGACTGGTGGTTTGCTGTGTTGTGCATGGTAATCGACATCGCTTTGACCGGCCTTTGTTTGTGCACAAACAAACTGCGGTCATCATCATGATCGCATGGTTGTCGGTTATGCCTCCTTTTTTTCACTGCAATTGTAGGCTGAATCTTCATCGAGGATCGTTTTTTACTTCAAGAACCTGTGTAGTGGTTATTCCAGGCAAGGTTTGGGTGAATTCCAGTTGAAGTTAGTGTGTAACTGGGACAAAATTGCACATTTTCCAATTTTTTGTGTGGACCTGCCAATGCTGCTGGTTTTGGTGAACAACTTCCTCCAGCCCTAAATGACAACCCAATGATACAATATAGGGCTGGGTAACTCCGGCTACCGGTAGTTGTATTCTATGATTTCTCATCTTTTGCCCTCCGGGTAAATTAGGTAACATTTCTTCAAATTTTTCGAGAAATTTAGCATCTTTCTGGAGTCCATATCATTGCATACACGCCAGTGTTTGGACGAAACTCCTCAGGCGATTGGGAAACCAGACGTGTGGCCTAACGTACAGCGCAGCAATACTGAGGCCACACAAATGGGACTACCGTCCTCCTAGACCTGTGAACGTGGCGTTGTGTACAACACCTTGCTGTTGTGTCATTTCGACCTTGCGAAATCAATCCGCCATACATAATTTTGTATGCATGGTGAGTACTTACAATGTACCTAGAAATCTAAATTTGCCTTCCCGCGTGTTCAGGATGTGTCATTTCGACGAAATTTGCCGTCAATGAATTAAGACCCATGTACGAATGTCTAGAAATTAGATTTTAACGTTAACTAAACAAGTACCCAGGGTCATTTGCGTGCCAATTTATTGGAGCCCTCCGAGCTACCCGTCTGCTTCATGTGGTGCATATGATAGGCGGCGCCAGATTGGCCAATTACGAGACCATGCACGTGATGAACGTAGCGAAAAATTTGGAATCGCACTTATGATCCGGACATAAGGAATGCCCAGAGCGTCAGTGCGATACCAAATTATCCGCAGCACTTATCACGTGGTAAATCACCAGTCCGAAAATTTGGGACTCTCAATACTGTGTATGAGAGTCCCAAAACTTAAGGTATTGAAAACATGCAAAACAAGAGAATACACTGGCGCCTAAACAACCAGTCCAAATCATCGAATTCAAACAGGAAATAAACATGTTTTTATTCTGTTTGAAACACGTTTTGAAAACAATTCTTTTTTTAAAAAGCATGTTTTATTTGGTTGGATTTTGCCACCTCAAAAAACAGGGGAAAAATAAAACAGTTTAAAACCTGTTTTTTAAACCATAAAACATGTTTTATTCCTACTTCAAACTTTTTTTTTTTTTTAAACATTTCTTTAAAAAAAAAACAGTTGTTAATAGACAACTGTTTAAAAAAAATTAGTTGTTTTAAAAACTGTAAAGGCCAAATCAGGTTTAAATATGCATGTGCTCTTTATTTTTTGAACAATAACATGATTATAGCATTAGTGTGACATTGAAAATACAAGTAGCTCACATGATCAAATTCTTTTTGTTAATAAACATTTTCTGCATACAATATAGAAACATACAAAAATACAGAGTAGATACATGTATCCCTTAAAACTATACTGACCAACACGAGAATATCCCTAAAGTAAAGCAACAAGCAAAAGTTTTTCTGGCTGTGTGTTTTTGCTTGACAGGTTATACATGTATGTACATGTCCTCTTACATTCAGAAACACATGGATATATTCCTAAAAACAAGTGGCTTGTTACAGCAGTGACAGTCGGATTGTCCGAAGCTTTGATAATCTAAAGGTTTGTCTGAAGGGTCATTAGTCCGAAGCTTCATCCAAAATTTTTAAATGCATTTAATATTGCTGGGAGCCATGGTCAACTACATGTAGCTGTCGATCAATGCCGTAACAATATAGCAGTTTAAATAAAATCATATGTGTTAGGCCTATACCAGGCTGCCGTAATGATAGCCACGACATTCTAAAATTGCAGAAAAACAAAACAAAATCTACCCAATTTATGACAGCTATAGCTATAATCCAAATGGTACTTGTATAATACGGAAACTTACCATGCAAATATAATTGATGATAATTGCACTCATTCTCTATGCATATCTGCATCAATTCATGCATTTACACGCACCATGAGTTGCAGATCACATCAAATATTCAAAGTACTGGCTAGTATTTAACCAGACAGATACATGAACCAATGTAATAGTTGTCTATAATAACAACCCAGCTACTGACAACTATTTGTGTGCAAAAGACAAAGAGTGCAATCACAAATTTGATACAATTATTCCTACGTACATGTCTGCCTGTCCTAAGCCCACTGCAGTACTGATTCAAATTGTAACTGAAATGAAATTTTCCATACACCCAGTACATGCATGAGGTCACCAAGGGTCAAAGGGAGTATAGTGCAGTCTGGGTAGCATATGCCTCTCCAGAAAACATAACAAAAACAACCAGGAAACAAGGAAAAAACAGTCATACACATTGATGTATCAATTAGTCAGCCCAATACTTTTCAAAAAAATTCTAAGTCCCAAAAAAACAGTACTAAAACAGACATTGAGCTTTCATTATTGTTCTGAGTTCCACCAAAACAGCCAAAGAACAGTTCAACATTTTTAAAAAATCCTTAAATCGTGTTTTTATCCTGTTTTGTTTTGTGAGGCACAACAAAACAGAATAAAAACAAAATGTCATCAAATAAAACAGCCAGGAAACAGTTGGTGGAATGTAGTCCTTTTTCAGGAAACGGGGAAAAAGTATTTTATTTCTGTTTTCTTACTAGAAACAGGCACAAAAAAACATGTTTTAAACAGAAACAAAACAGGAATTCTTCAACAAAATTCGTTGAGGCACAGCTTCAGTACTGCATCAATCAACCATGCAAAAAGAGTTTAAGAAACATGTGGCATGAAGCGGAAACTAGTCTCAGTTTACTACACATTTCTCCATAGTCTATCCACCAGACTATTGACACTGAATGAAGAGGTCAGTCTTTTCAAATAGTTGGACCATGGTTGGACTTGTACCAGTCTAGTATTTAGCCCCATTTTGAAATCACTTGACTTCCCTCTCATGTGCAAAATATTGAAGAAAAGTCTCCTTTATAAATTGAATTGAATCTGCAAACTTGGTTGGTGAAATACTGAGGACATTTTCTTTGCCTCAGTGAAATTTTTTTGGAGAAATTTGCTGGCTAAACTGAGTAAAGTGGGCCTGATTTAGTTATGTATGCATGTTTCAGAGCACTCCAGAGTTCTGTCTGGTAAATCATAGGTTGCAGGACGTCGAGATCTTGCCAGATTTTACCTCGAATTTCATTTAAATGCCAGATTTTGCGTAAAAACAGATTTTAACATGTTCAAGAAAGCTTGATATGTGAGTACTTATCACACGGTAAAGAAATGTTCAGTTTTTGTCACGGAAGGACGATATCACTTGGTTTGAAATGGTACAAGAGCGTGGCGTAGTTTACAAGCCACGTTCACGGGTCTACCGTCCTCCTAGCCATGTTAGCATGCCTAGCCTGGCGATCGTGTAGTGTAGGGCCCCTCTTTAATTTTGATCAAACATGTCAAATAGAGTCAAGAGTGTTATTTATCATTCAACAATTACTTTTTGGGAAAAAAATTTTGCAACCTGATGACACATTGGAAAGAATTCCATAGGCCTGTAGGTACACCACTTGACAACCTGTGTACGAGACTGGTCTGAAAAATTCTAAGTGTTTTCCGACTAAATGCTTCAATATTTTCCCTGCTAAATTTCACTTCAAAGGACATGTTATCCCTCTCTGATGGTTGATGAGTCATTGCCTGGAAAAACTAGGACGATCGTGTAGTGTAGGGCCCCTGTTTTGTTTCAATCAAAGTAAGGATGTGACGTTTACACACGTGTAAACGGAAAAAAAATCAAATCCGTTTAGAAATTTTCCCAAACGTTTAAACGGAACTCAAATTTCAAAAATGGGACCTCGTATTTTGCGCAATCTACCCTCCAGTTTTATTTACAAAGAATCTACGATGTTTATTCTATTTCATTTATAAAGAATTAGAAACGCATTTTATAGTTGATCACGTTCCAAGAAGTTTTATTAATACATTGTTCCATTATCAGCAACTGTTTTGTGTCAAATTGATACACTGTGTTTGATGTTTTCAATACGCCGCTGGGCCGAGATCGATGCCGGGATCTC